AAGTAAGTAAGTAAGTAAGTAAGTAAGTAAGTAAGTAAGTAAGTAAGTAAGTAAGTAAGTAAGTAAGTAAGTAAGTAAGTAAGTCAGTCAGTCAGTAAGTAAGTAAGTAAGTAAGTAAGTAAGTAAGTAAGTAGGCAAGTAAGTAAGTAAGTGCATGAGTAAGTAAGTAAGTAAGTAAGTAAGTAAGTGCATGAGTAAGTAAGTAAGTAAGTAAGTAAGTAAGTAAGTAAGTCAGTCAGTAAGTAAGTAAGTAAGTAAGTAAGTAAGTAAGTAAGTAAGTAAGTAAGTAAGTAAGTAAGTAGGCAAGTAAGTAAGTAAGTGCATGAGTAAGTAAGTAAGTAAGTAAGTAAGTAAGTAGGCAAGTAAGTAAGTAAGTGCATGAGTAAGTAAGTAAGTAAGTAAGTAAGTAAGTGCATGAGTAAGTAAGTAAGTAAGTAAGTAAGTAAGTAAGTAAGTAAGTAAGTCAGTCAGTAAGTAAGTAAGTAAGTAAGTAAGTAAGTAAGTAAGTAAGTAAGTAAGTAAGTAAGTAAATAAGTAAGTATATATAAGTAAATGGAGTGTACATTAATTTAATAGTCAACTACAACATTTTGTTGTCCTGTAAAGCTAAGTTTATTCAATAATTAGAAAAATAGCTACATTGTTTACATACTTATAAAATATAAGTTTCTTACTGAATAAAAATAAAAAGGTTTTAAAATAATATTCAAGAGTATAGAACTTTTTACACATTTGAAATCATCAATCAATCATTGTTTGACCACCATTAGAAACCTGGAAGCACTGAAAGACAGTCGTTTCGTCCTGGCATGGGACTCCTCAGCAGTGCTCATCCACGACTTCAAAAATGTAAAAACACTAATCTCCATAACTCTAATTGAAAATATCGTAAAATGTGCTCACTGATGAGGAAATTCTCAGAGTTCTAGTGAGAAGATGTGACCAGTGGAGTTCAACCCTGTCGGGTGTAGTCAGTAACTACCGAAGACAAATGGGTGAGGTCGGGCGAAATCCCTAGATCAATCAGAGTTATACATTAACACCACTGGATGCCAGCCAGCTCAATGGTACGGAGGTTAGGCTTTCGCGCACAGTACCAAAGGTCCCGAATCCTGCGAGGAGCGGGAGTCGTGGATGCACACTACTGATGAGTCCCATACCAGGACGAAACGGCCATCTTCCAGTGCTTCCAAGTTTCTAATGGTGATCTAACAATGATTGATTGATGATTTCAAATGTGTACAAACACTAATCTCCATAACTCTAATTGAAAATAGAACTCTTTACTTAAATTTTATAACTAACCTCATTAACTGATCATAGTGATTTTCAAATCCTTTAATCATAGAATACAAGTTTTTGTTTTTACTTAATAAATTACGAAAAAGATCATATATTCAAAACTTTGCCTAGAGCCTTTGTGGAGTTGAATTGTCAATCCCAAGTCCGAATAAACGAGGAGAGTTGGGCGTGGGGCTAATGATCTTTATCTCGTAGAAAATGAACTTGCTAAAGCAACACTAACCAGAAAAAATAACTAAGTTAGCATCAAAGGTCTAAAGATGAGAATAATAATACCATAGTTTACTGTTCTATGAGTGAAAATTTGTAATCCAATTAAATTTAGTTGGCTAACAGACGTAACTGAAGATAATCAATAATTTTCAATGAACACACAAGGTATTTTTCTAAATAGAATGACCAACTTTAAGTAAGCTAGATAGTTCTTAAAGAATCTCCTTATTTCATGATAATATATATTTAAAAACTGATATATCTTTAGGAAAATTATCGCACATTATAGAATCTTTAAAATTTGAGACTTTCAGGCGTTCGCGAACAATACCGAAGGTTCTGGGTTCGAATCCTGCGGGGTGCATGAGTCGTGGGTGCGCACTGCTGAGGAGTCCCATACCAGGACGAAACGGCCGTCCAGTGCTTCCATGGCATACATTTGAAATAAATATACTCACTCTGTGACTAACTTCGTGAGGACGTTCTCAGAGTTCTAGTGGGAAGACGTGACCAGTCAAGTTCAACCTGTTCGTGTGTAGGTAATGTCTACCGAAGACTGTGTATGAGGTTGCGCAACTCCGTGAATTTGATCAAGTTAGACATTAACACCGTCTAATACTGGATCAGTGGCCTAACGGTTGGGGCGTCCGCGCACAATACTGAAGGTCCGGGGTTCGAATCCTGCGGGGTGCAGGAGTCGTGGATGCTCACTGCTGAGGAGCCTCATACCAGAAGGAAACGACCATCCAGTGCTTCCAGATTTCTAATGGTGGTCTAACATTGATCGACTCATGGTTTCAATAAATGTGTAACTTAATGATCTTCACAACCCCCGTAATGCAACTTATAATTTTCATAGTAGATAGGATTGACAGCCTCCCAGGTTTCGGTGATCAGCATGACCAACATTCAATTATGATGCAAACATTACTAATTCATAATATTCAGAGAGAAAATTCTGATTTCTACGTCGTGTTCAGACAATACAGACTACTACTATACAAAATTATTCGAGGAATTGATTTAAGTTTGACTTATTCACTACTGAATTTCATCTCAGTGGTTTGAAGGTTGATTGTTTGCTCGTGAAACTTAAGTTCTTCTCTTAGATTACAGATCAGAGGGTAATGGATACACATTGTTGAGGAGTCTTATACCAGGATGCAACAACTATATAATGCTTCTAGGTTTTCAATGGTTGTCTAAAATATATTGGTTTGTGATATTGGTTTTTTTAAAAATAGTTAATATAATTTGGTTGTCTGATCGAATTTTTCGTTCGAGCAACTTTAAACCGTCTTTTAGATTTTATGCTTAGAAAGGATTTACACATCGAGATCATCAGTCAATCATTGTTAGACCATCACTAAAAACCTGGAGGCACTGGAAGGCCGTTTCGTCCCAGTATGAGACTCATCAGTGGCAGTGCGCATCCACTACTTCTGCCACTCAAACTCGCGGGATTGGAACCCAGGACCTCCGGTCTTGCGCGCGCGAACGCCTAACATCAGGACCACTGAACCGGCCGGCACCCGACAGTGACAATATCTAACTCTGACCAATCTACGGATTTTGTGCAACCTAACCCATCGGTTAGGCGTTCGCGAGCAAAACCAATGGCCCTGGATTCTAATCCTATGCGATTTGCAGGAGTCGTGTATGCGCACTGTCACTGATGAGTTCCACACCAGTACATGACGGCGGTCCAGTGCTTCTAGGTTTCTAATGATGGTCTAACAATGGTTCCTTCATGATTTCAGTATGTCAGAACACTAAACTCCATAGCTCTAAATGAATTATCCTGTCTATTGCTTTTCAAGATTGAATTTCAATTAGCCTTATAGTTCAAATCTGTATTAATAAGAATGTATTTTTAAAAATAGTGCAAAATTTCATACCTGTTCAACGAGTAAGTAGCCAAAGTGGGTTCAGTAAGTAGTGTCGATGTTTGAAATGGAAGCTGACTAGGTCTGATTTCCAATTATGTATATGTTAGGATATTCATCAAATATCTTAAGAGAATTATTTTTGTAAGTCTAATTCTGTTGGTCAATTCCTACTGGTCAATATTGTGGTCGTCCTTACTATCAATATATAAATACGCATTATATGTAACTTTCTATGACCTGGACCAGGACCAAGATCCATAGCCCGGGATCCTGATTCTCTTCTGGATTCGGACCTCTCAATTTCTGGATGCTTGTAGAATACATGTTCTACTTCATATCAAGTCTTTATCTTTTAACTCAATGGGGGTTGGGACACCCGGATCCTCGATCATCGCTCTCATTTTCCAACCAAGATAAACTCGTAATAGCTCAAGCATATGAAGTTGACGTGTTTACGTGCATGCGTAACAGAATATCATCAGCAAAATGCAAATATATCTAGATGATGCGTCTCAGTTAGAGTAGACAGCGAGTTCTAAATCTCATTACTAACCTGTAATGAGTAACTATGTCTCTCTTACGGTAGCCAAACGCCTCGTCATCTAATTGAATGGGTATATTAGGTGACGCGGATAAATGGAGCCTTTTTGGAGTTGCGGTGGCTGCTACCTCTTCCTGGTCCTGTCAGGAAACGTGGCGTTGTTTACAGGGCTACGGCTAAAAGCCGTTCCGAACTCTTAGGATGCTGTGCCTAGTATGGCCCAGAATAATGACTCGTGTTCATGGTCGCAAGGCTGTGGGTGCGGTTTCGCCACAGGACCGAACGCCTCTAAGTCTGAATCCTGTCCACTGAGTGTAGACAAATTTGAACTTATGGGATATAACTTTCCTGGTTGCTTGGAGGCGGCCCTAGTCGATTCTCTTGGGGAAGCAGCCGTAAAGATCCTGGACTATTGACGCCGACCCTATATGTTTGTCCAAAACACTCTGCATCTCGATGTAGTGTTGTAGTGCGCTTGGTCGAGTTCGTCACATCTACCCCATAGGAGGGTGTACGTTCCGGCTGACCTTGTGGGACAAACTCGATCTTAAGCTTCATGTGAGGTTTTGGGGCTCCGATCGATTGTATCAGAGCAAGGCAGTTGGAGGCTAGACGGTTGGAACGGCTGCTAGTTAGTGCACTACTGGATGACTCGGTAATCCGTTTTGGGGTTCCAACTCTAGCTGGGAAAGCCTGCCTTGCCGATTGGGGATTGTGGTTAGTGAATTGGCTGGAGGGATCGAGTTTATTCACAAGTGCCCGAACGGGGGCTACTGCTTTTTGAACGTTCACTTGTCTGTAGACCAATCTAGACAACATATACGTTCCCGTATGGGGCAGAGGTGATCGCAAAATTGGCTACCTAAAAAGCATCGGCGTGCATGTTCAGTAGGCTTGATGGTTAACCAAGAACTAACATATAATTTTACTAATCTACTATTGAATAAAAGTACAAACTATTCTTCTACGAATCATATTCACATCGTAATCAATGTAGACAAGATAAACATTTAGGATTTTCAAAAAAAACACTACATACATATACACCCACTCACAGTTCTGTTGCTACAAGATTGTTTACACTGAATAATATTTTGTTCCAATGAGATTATATTATATATTATTAATCAAAACAGAAAAAAACACACCCATGAGGAGGTTATTATGATTAGACATATTGATTTACACAAGAAACATCCGTTTTAATCCAACTAACCGATAGTATGTTATTCTATTCGATCATATATATATACGTGTATGTACGCGTTTCAAATGTAATTTATCTGACATTCAAATGAATTCATTCAATAATGCTGTTATAAGTTGTTTGTTTGTTCGCTTCAATTTCTACAAAATGTCATAAATAATGAAAACAGAAGAGATGCTTTATGTGTGTGTTTATCTTTTCCTAGGCATCATCATAATGTTTCAATCGAAGATATGACGTCAATAAAAAAAGCAAAATAGTCATGGTACTATATTTTTTTGGTTTCTATTTCTATTTCTGTTTCATTCCAATCTACATTGAAAAACATACAAAAGGTGTTTGTTTGGTAGTAAGTAGTAAGTACAAGTTTGTGTTGTTGTTCGTATTCTTATTATGTAATAATTATTGTATAATCAATGGAAAAACCTCTCAAAGGACAACAATCTTTCTTCTAAACAACAGTTGTTCAATAACGATCAGTTTTTATTTACTTGGCAGGGTTCAGTAACATGCAAGAATTAACTTTACATTGATTAGAATGGAATGTTGCATATCAGTTGAGAATTTTTGGATAGTTTTATATTTGAAATCATCAATCAATCAATCATTGTTAGATCACCATTAGAAACTTGGGAGCACTGAAAGACAACCGTTTCGTCCTGGTATGGGACTTATCAGTGGTTGTACGCATCCGTGACTCGTGCTCCTCGCAGGACTCGAACCCGGGACCTCCGGTATTGTGCGCGAACGCCTAACCTGTGGACCACTGGGCCGGCATCCAACGGTGTTAGTGTCTAACTCTGATTGAGCTACGGGTTTTACGCGACCTCACCCATTTGTCTTTGGTAGTTACTGCCTACACCCGACAGGGTTGAACTCCATTGGTCACATCTCAACTAGAACTCCAAGAATTTCCTCATGAAGCTAGTCATCATTAGTGAGCACGGTTACGATATTTTCAGGCAGAGTTTTGGAGAGCTGTGTTTTTTTACACAATGATTGATTGATGATTTCAAAAACACAAACCTCCAAAACTCTGCTCAAAAATAGTTTTATGTATCACGAAGTGATCTTCATCCTGGTATGGAATTTCTCCGTAGTATTGATCCATGATGATTTATGGGATTTGGTGTTGTGAACACCTAGTTTGGATCAATTCATGATAGTGTGGTTTAGGGGTTTAACATCGGTAGACCAGATTGAAGGTCCTGGGTTGGAATCCATGTGGCAGGACAGTGGTTCGACAGTGCTGAGAAGCCTGTCACTATGAAGAAACAGCTGTCCATTGCCACGTTTACTTTTAAAAATTATTTTGGGTAAGATCATATCATGATTTGAAACCTCTAAATATGATTTAATCACAGTGATAATTTAATGTAAGTTATTATGACAAGTTAGTCAGTTAGTTAATTAAATTATAACTTAGTAACTGAACTGTGTATATCCTTTCTGATTATTAATTGTCACTGACAAATTGGTTATGATTAGATTTTCAGTAAACATCAGTGAAGATTGTTGAGTTTCATTTAAATCATGAATCGATCGTTGTTAGACCACCATTAGAAACATAGAAGCATTGCTAGGCCATTTTGTCCCATTATAGGAATCATCAACTGTGTGTATCCCCGATCCCTATTCGCTGGAATCAAACCTAAGATCTTCAGTTTCTTACGTTTACGCCTAACCTCTAGACCACTGAGCCGGTATCCAACGGTAATAATGTTTAACTTTCGATCAATCCAAGGAATTGTGAAACCTCACCCATTGTCTTCGGTAGGTAAAACTGCCTACACCCGAAAAAGATAAACTCCACTGGTCACGGCTTCTCACCAGAACTCCGAGAATGTCCTAATGAAGTTAATCATTAGTGAGTATATTTTTTTCTGGCTTTCATTATAGAGTTGTGAAAATTGTTGAGCTTCATTGAAATTTCGCTAGTGAGGACCGTGGACACGCACTGCTGATGATTCCCATACTAGGACGAAACGGACTTCCAGTGTTATTAGACTGTTGTAAGATAATTTAAATCTTCATTTCATTCAGTAACAATCTATACTTAACTTTACCCTTCCATGGTTATGATGAATGATTTTAGTCCTTTTTTAATGAAAACATATCGAAAATAATGTTCAAGCACTAGACGGCCGTTTCGTCCTGGTATGGGACTCGTCAGCAGTGCGCATCCATAAGTCCTATACCTCGCAGGATTTGAACCCGTGATCTTCGGTATTGTGTGCGAACGCCTAACCTCTGGCCCAATTGCAAATAATCAACCAACTGTTTGTTCATCTGATTTTCCACTCAATTCTTCATCAATTAAACTGTAAGAAACAAATCTTGAGATCAGTTCAGTCTCTTTGTTCTCTGTTTGTGAATCTACATCTTCTCAAGTCATTCAGAACAAACAGAGTCTTTATCTGTATTGTTCTAACATAATTTATTCATAAAAACAATGGAAACTTCATTCCAACTTTCTTGTTTAGTCAACTACAACGTAGAACTTCGTAAGTGTGGGCATACATTGGTTTAAGTTTCCATATCACATTAACATAGAAATGCAGCTGTCAATTCAAATCCAATAATCGTAGATGTAATATTGAGAAGACTGAGGCAGGCGCGGAAGATTGTATTATGCTAGTTTACACTCTTAGTCAGTTAAAAACGAAAACATTACATTGAACATACTCTATTTGCACACCATCTTTGAGTCGTGACTTCCAACACTCCATCCTTCTTCCATTCCTGTTGTTGCTTCCTTTACTTCCTGTTGGTATTCCATTCATTTCTTGCTTTTGCTCCATTTGCTTTCTGTTTTCCTCTTGTGACCGTGAGACTTCTTTCACGTTCCTTCTTATACTACTTATATCGTTCGTATAAGTAGCACACACCACAATATGATGAATGTATATATATATATATATATATATATATATATACATATATATATATATATATATATATATATATATATATATATATTCCATCTTGGTTCTGGACATCTTAACAACAACAGATAAGTAATGTTGATGACCAAAATGTTAATCAGTAGTATGAAAGTATCTTTCATGTTACCAAATTATACGATGTCGTGTAAGGTCAATAATTCATATTACTTATGCCTAGACTCAAGAATATAGTTTTCAGAAGCTTCCCTACTAGCGCATATATTGATTGTTGATTACTGACTGAACAAATAAATTTATTCTTGACATAAACTACATATTAACCTCTTAGTAATAGGTTGGATAACTCATTGTATTGGTTATGAAGTAAAACAGTCTTTAAAAACACATCATACAAAAGATGAGTTCATGTACGTTTCAACATTACCATAATGATGGATACTCATGTAAATCAACAAACAGACAAGCATATTAAATGCTCACCATCATCTTAGATTGTTTAAATGATGTATGCATAACACTTTTTATTCTGTTAGCTAGTTAGTCAGTTACAACTTAGAACTTCGTACGTATGTACATCAGTTCAGGTTGCCATACCACATTAGCACAGAGACGCAAATGTCACTTCAAATCCCATAGTAGTAGAGATAGTAAAAGTATTAACAGTAATCGGAGAGATTAGGGTTCGACGATATTATTCAGGAAGTAGAATCTAGTGAAAGAAACTTAAAAACAAAAAGATGAAGGTGATGATGAACTCCGAAGGTTAGGATCTGAGAGAATGCAAAGAATCAATGCACCTGCGTCACTGTAAAGGGTTTTGAGCCATGTCGTTCAAAGTCTTTCAGCGTCAGTGACTATCTTCTTGCGGATTCCAACTACTTAGTTTACACTTATCAACACGGCTCAGTCTATTTGTCAGTGACTTGATGGATTTGTGCCATGTTTAACTATCTGACCACCATTAATAAACTGGAAGCACCGTATAGCCTTTTCGTCCGAGAACGAGACTCTTCAGCAGTGCGCATCCACGAACCTCGATCGCCAGAATCGGAGCTAAGAACTTCAGTCTCACACTTAACCTCCAAACAGCTGAGCCGGCCAGCATCCAACAATGTTAGTGTCTACCTTTTGTCCCATCCAAGATATAGCGCAACCACATCTATTGTCTTAACTCCGCCAGTAGAACCTTAGGGGCTACGGCCGGTCACAAGCCCGGATAAAGGAGGAGGGTTGGACATGGGGTTGGCGACCCCATTCCGTCAAAAACTAACTTGCCAAAAAAACGCTAACCAAAAAAAATAATTCAAACCATTTTGATTGTGCCCTGGCAGTTGGAAGAAGAATTATGACGTCCCGTGATGAAAGCCTAGTTCCCTCGGAAGTCACGAGGCCGATACCCCTTCTGACAATCAGAGCAACCATTTTTTTAGGTACATGGAACGTTCGTACATTGTGGGAGACTGGAAGACTATTTCAAGTTGCGGCGGAAATAAAAAGATACAACCTCGAGGTGCTCGGCATCAGTGAAACGCATTGGACACAGGTAGGACAACTAAGACTAGTTTCAGGAGAACTGCTGTTATACTCTGGTCATGAAGAGGAAAATGCTTCACATACACAAGGAGTTGCACTGATGCTGTCCAAACATGCACAAAAGGCACTGATAGGATGGGAATCTCATGGGCCGAGGATCATTAAAGCATCCTTCAAAACAAAGAAAGAGGACATTACAATGAACGTCATCCAATGTTACGCACCTACCACCAATGACTACAATGACGACGTTAAAGATCAATTCTACGAAAGGCTGCAGTCAATCGTCGAGAAATGTTCACCAAAGGATTTAACGATTCTTATGGGAGACCTGAATGCCAAGGTTGGAATGGATAACACTGGATATGAAGACATCATGGGACGACATGGACTGGGAGAAAGGAACGAAAATGGTGAGAGATTCGCAAACCTATGTA